TGTGGCTGCCTATAAGTTCATCACGGGGGCACAGAAGGGAATTGGTGAGGCTTTACTCACCAAGGTGCCCCCGGGGGTTACAAGAAATAATGGCCATAAGCTAGCAGAGAGCAGATTTAGACTGGACATTAGGTGGAACTTCTTCACAGTTAGAGTGGGCAAGGTCTGGAACGGGCTCCCAAGGGAGGTGGTGCTCTCCCCTACCCTGGGGGTCTTCAAGAGGAGGTTAGATAGGCATCTAGCTGGGGTCATCTAAACCCAGTACTCTTTCCTGCCTATGCAGGGGGTCGAACTCGATGATTTATTGAGGTCCCTTCCAACCCTAACATCTATGAATCTATGAATCTATGACCTTCTCTCTTTCTTCCACGCTCCCCCTTCTTTCAGAGTGAAGTTTCTCATCCTGGATTCCAATGGCGCCAAGGCAGAGACAAGATGGTCTGAAAGAATCACTCTGAAGCAAGGTAATGCCAGCAGGACAGGGACCACTTACCAGTTTCACTGGTAGGGCTCTTGTTCCCTTTAAGCCCTGCATGTGCCTATTCCCACTGCCTGGGCAGCACAAAAAATGGCTGCAGACTGCCAGAGTTTGTAATGAATCCCTGAGGGCCAGCACTGACCTATGCCTGAAATGGACTTTCTTACAGGATCTCTTCACAAGCACAGCAGCCCCTTCCCCTCTCAGAAAGACTCGGCTTTTCATAACCCAAGTTTTAACTACTGGGACTCACTTGGTCTCACTGCCGGGGTGAGCCAGATGGAACAGCGCTGCCTCTCCACATTTGGCCTTATAGCAGCAGTCATACACCCTGTATGACAACTGTTTTCCAGTCCTTAGGGGGAATCAGACACTTGTCAAACAGTCATGATACTGAACTAGAGAGGAAAGTGAAAGCTCAGCAAGGAAATGACTGAGCAGCACTGAGCACTACAGAGGGAACTGGGCACCAGTGATCCCAATCTCTGCCATCTTCCTCCCTATTTCTGCTCAGGACCTCCCTCTCCTCCCAGACCCTTCCGTATCCAGCACCCTCCACAGCTGGTTTCTCCTCCCTCACGGCACTGGTTTCACCCCCGCCACTCCTCTCTCCTTCTGTGTGCTGCAGGCCACAGGTCAAGCACCATTGACACCTGGCCAGGGAGGCGCAGCGGCACCATGGTTGTCATCACCGTCATCCTTTCCAGCTTAGTCGGCATCCTGACCATTGCATTCCTCTGCACAAGCGCCTATGAGTGGTAAGCCCCAAGGGGAACGCAGACCAACCCGACTTTTCTGCTAAGGGAGCGATCGGTCAGCCTGAGCCAGTGGGACCCTAAGGGCCCCCCAGCACTTGCTCACCTCCTGTGGACTGCCTCCCCCTGGCTGGTGTGAATGGGTCTGGCTGGACCTGGGACCCTCTGTTGTTCCCTTGGGTGACCCATTGTGCCCACAGTGCCCAGCCAGCTGGCTTACACCAGAGGCCTGTTTAAACCTGCCAGCAGGGACACCGCATGGCACTGGAGAGAACAGGAGGTCTGCATGCTACCTGGAGCTTCCCCTCTCCAGCAGTGGCAGGCCCAGCCTCTCCAGAGAGTGGCTTTCTGATCTGGTCAGTCCTAGGAAGCTGTCTGTATGGAGCTTAGCTGGCACCAGTCTCTTCCCTTGCCTGTCCAGAGGTGTTTGAAGTGGCCCCATTGCTTTGCCTCCCTGCTCAGAGGCTGCCCTTCAGCCACGGCCCCACAAGAAGGCACAGGGCACATCCCGTGGCCATCACACGAAGCATCCTCCCATTGTACTGCCCTTCATACCATGACTCCATTACTCCCACCAGGCTCTCAGCCACAGGTTTCAGCTTTGCTTTGAACAGAAAACCAATTTGGGGTTATTTATTTTCCCAGCCATTTTCCCTCAGGAGCAGTTACCCCAGTTTCCCAGCCAGTTGCCCTCAGCACCTGGTGGGATGAGGCCAGGGTGGGGCCAGCTTGCCCTGGGGGCCTTCCTGCTCTACCTTCTCAGCTGGGTGGAGGGTGGTTTGGCCGTTGCACAGCCAGCAGCTCAGCCAGGTGCTGTGGGAGGGCCGGGAGGGGGGTACTGTCCGGTCCCCTGTGCATCTCCCTGCAACTGACTGCCTCCATGCTTACGGTCTCTCTGTTTCTTGCAGCTTTAAGCTCTGGCAGCGAGAGGATCCTGTCGTGGCAGAGGAGCCGCCTGCCGGGTCCTTCAAGGGGCGGCGCTATGATACCCACCACATCCCTCCATCTCAGGCCCCACCCCAGCCCCCCAGCGACGTGCCAGGGTCCCCAGCTGCCTCTTCTTAGCCACAGCTTCCCTTGCTCCACGGTCCCCGGCTCGCTGATGTGCACTCAGGCTCTACATATGGCTTCAACTTCCCTGCTGGCCCCTGACCCCAGCGCCCCCACCCTGCACCCCACTACACAGCCCCCATTCCTGCACCCAGCCCAGCACTGTATTCACACGCCCTGGGCTGCCAGGCCTCAAATGGCACCAGGAAGGGAGGGGACCCCGCGCAGGCCCTCAGCTCGAGTCCTTGCCTTCCTGTTGTTGCTTCTACTGCCCTGCTTGGTCGTGGCTCTTGTAAACACACCATGCTCCCAGCCCCTGTCAATCAAAGGTCAGGCTCTGCTAACTCCCCATGCCGCTCCCCAGTGCTGAGCTCAGCGTTTGGTGCCCACCAGCCCCTCTCCACAATTTGTGGCTCACAGGATTCATTTGGTTCCCAGACTTATGGATGGGGCCAGAATAACAACAGGAGCCTGTGGAGGGGGGTTGCCGAGGTGCAGATGCTGGCAGGCGTCCCTGGCCAGGATCCCGTGCCAGTGAGGCAGATGCGGTAAGCAGCTACAGCGTCGCTGACAGGGTGAGGCCACATGGGGACAGCACAGCACAAGGAAGCGGGGAGGCGGGAGCAGGAGAGCATGGGCAGCTGGATCCCCTTTCTGCAGAGCCTCCTCCCTGCACTGCTGTGGGAACCGAGGCTGCCGCCTCCGGATAAGCAGAGGAAGCAGCCCAGCCGGGTGCTCTGGAGAAGGAGCCTCCCCTTGCCCAGGGCACATCCCTGGGTGCTGTGCTAGCCTGGCAGTCCACCTTGTCCTGTTGATTCTCTTTTCCAGGGGTGGTAACACTACAACAAGAGCAAAGACCCTAGGCGTGGAAAGGCCAGCAGCAAACCAAGCCCAGCCCAGTCCAGCCCAGCCTGATCTTCCCTCTGCTAAAACCTCAATGCTGTATCCACAGTGTGGGGAACAGGCAAGGACTTGCTGCTCTCAGTGGCTTTTCTCTCCATCCCAGCATAGCAGAAGCTGCTCCAGGAGACAGGCATGGGCCTGGGCCAGACTCCTGAATCCAAACAGCTCTCTTTTGGCCAGTTTGAGGGAGTCTAGGCCTGGATTCTGCCAGTGGCATTCGTTCCTGGCTGTTTGGCCCATGATGACTCAATGGTGATCCAGCCTGTGACCTCATCATTCCCCTCCCTGCAATGGCTTGCTCTTTACTCTTTACTCCCAAGCCCACAGTATAGAACAGCAGGCTGTCCATAATGACTCCACCTGAGGTCAATGTGAAACCAAGGAGATTGGCTGGAGGCATGGGAGGTTCCTCTGCTCCAAAAAAGGTCCTTTCCAAAGCTCTGCCTGGTTGTCTGACATGTGACAGTTCTTCAAGGGAGCCCAGAACTGGCCCAACCAGCACAGCCAACACCAACAGGTGACTGGGGAAGAAAGTAAGCAGTATTCCCCCTCCACAGCCTATCCCCATGGCTTCTAAGTCCAAGACAGTTATCTAGGTGAGATCTGAGCCATCTAGCCAGGCCAAAGGCTGGGAGCAAAGCCAAAGTCTCAGTTTAATGGCTACTGACATTGGTTTGTCTTACCAGTGCTCTCAACTCAGTAGCCCAGTCAGGCTGTAACAGAGCTGTCCTACCAGGAGATGAATCAGCCCAGCAGGGGTGCAGATTTGGGAACTCTAGGCCTCATGTAAAGGACCAGATACCAGTTTCCCTCCCTGGCCCCAGTAGGAAGCCATCCTCGGGGACCATCCAGTGGGCCAGGACTGTGAGAGGCTCAGCTTCCTGTACGTATTGCTGGGGGAAGGGGTCAGTTTATACAAATGATCTGTCCCCTGAGAAGTAAACTGTAGTATGCATTTTTAAAGTGCTGCATCTCTGTTGCCCTTTCTGACCTCTGCAGCTGTCCCAAACCTTCCTGATCAGGGAGTGTCTAGGAGGCAGAACTGCTAAGCACACACTGCAAGCACAAACTGCTACACAGCTCCAGCTCCATCTTCATCTTTGCCCAGCTTTGTTTATCACCCCACCAAACAATGTGGCCATGGTATAACTGCAAGAAAATGGTGCATTCCAGGAGCCAGAGATGTCACGAATGACATTTCCCTAACATGGCACCTTCCACCAGAAGGACTTACCAAGTGCATTGGCATCAACTGGGTGCAGCAGCTGTTTGATATACAGCAATGCTGCACAGCCAGGAAAGGCCTCAAGCACCCAAAACTACAGAGGGGAGCCATGAGCAGGCTAAACTGTGTAAAGACACAAGCATCTTAGGCCAAGGAATGTCACGGCACTTTCCTGCAGGCGGGTGGATGTGCAAGGAGGCTGGAGGGTGAAAGAGGCTCAGAGAAAGACTGAGCTGAAGGGGAAGGGGTGGCCTGTGTCTGAGTAAGAGGCAGGGCTAGTCAGTGCTGATGCAGACCTTGGAATAGGAAGAATAAGAATTGCACACATGCCCCATGAAAATGGGCGGGGGGAGAGCAATGCATCTCCGTGCAAGACAAAATGTGAAATGTCAGCCCTCACCAATATGATCTCAGACAACAACAATCCTGCTGGCTAATGCCTTGCACTCCTGTGTGCCCTTGGCCATGTCCCTTCCTCTCCATTTCCCAATCCATAGAACAGGGACAGTGACCTGGTCTAGCTTCTATTGAAGTTGTAACTTCTGTTGTCTTCCTATGTTACTGTGATTGTGAAGGGAGGGGGTGTACAGCAAGCAGTGGTTACCAGGGCATCTGTGTCCCTGTATCCTCAGGTGTGCAGTGTTTGTTCTTGGCTACTTTGGCTGCCAGGGGACTTCTGCAGGACCAGGGCCTAAACAAGCAGGAAAAAATGGTATATTCCCTCTTACACACACAAACTGCATGCACCTATGTGCACACCTGCGGCATGCTCTTAACACCCATGCACACTGTCACACTCTAACACAGCCCAACCTTGTGGCCATAGGTGGAGGGGAAAAAAATAGTGGGGGGGAGGGTTGAGCACATGCACCCCCCCGACCCGGGGCCCCAGGGTTGTTGCCTGGTGCTGGTGCCCCCCGCACCAAGAAATCTGCCACCCTCCAGCCCTGCACTGGCCCCGGTTGCCTCCCTGCACTGCCTGGGGGGGCCCAGAGCTGAGGGCCAGAGTGGGGCCAGCCTCAGCTGCGCTGCTGGGCTGGAGGGGACAGAGCCCCCAGGACTCCTACGCCTGCCCCGAGTCACAGAGGGTGGGGTGGCTCCTGCCGCTGCATGCGTCCCTTGGAGTGCATGGGGGCATGTGGCCCCAGATCTGTGTGGGGCAGAACAGGCTGCCTCTGCCAGGGAGAGCTCTGTGCAAACCCAGCACCAACCCGCAGAGGAGCGGGGACAGCACTGGGAGGGGATTGGGGAGGCTATGGTGAATTTTGGGGTGGCTGCAGCCCCCTCCTCCATGGTCCCCTCCCAGTGCCACCACCGCCCGCAGCAGCAACCTACCCTGCCCCACACAGATCTGGGGGCACATGCCCCCATGCCTCCCAGAGTGTGCGTAGCAGCAGGAGCCATGGCCCCTGGACGAACTGCTCCTGGCTCAGTCCCGCACCCCTCCCCTAGCCTCAGCTCCAAGCCCATTCCCTCCTCACCCCCGCTGTAGCCGCTGGAAGCCAGGCTGCCTTGCTGCCCTACCGCTGCCCCACATTTGCGGGTGCTATGCTGCTTTAGCCCACCCCCCTTCCCCTACCTATGCTTGTGGCAGATGCAGTACTGCAAAGCTGACCCTCCCTTTTCTTCTTCTATGGCCTCCAGCTGGGAGGTATCTTCCCTCTTTTACAGCAGCAGGATCCACTTTACTCAAAAGGCAATCCACCCCCTGTCAGCACCAGTCGCCCATGCCTCCTGCACAGCCTGCCTCTCTCCTCAGCAGTCCTCACTCCATTTGCGTGATGCCTCTCTCCACTGCTCCACTGAATTTTCCAATAGAATTTCCCACAACCCCATCTGTAGCAGGTAGTACAGGAGGCAACGCTCCCAGCCAGCTTCCCCCAGTCAGGTCCTTGCTCTTAAAACAGCCCCTGAGGACACTAGGTTCTCTGCTCCTGGCCCCAGGCGCTGCATCTGTTAGCCCCATGCTGGCCCGTGCCCATCCGACCAGAGTGCCCACACTCTCCACCAGGTGTGGCAAGCCTCCTGGCTGTGTGGGAGCCAACTGGCCTATTTCCCCAGCCCAGAAAGGGCTTGCTGCCACCCACCTCAGACAGAAAACTGCTGGGGTACAGCCAGGCTGAGAGGGGAGCCCTTTTTTCTCCAATCCTACCTAGCCCAGTGCAGGCATGAAGTGGGCAGCCATCGCCCTCCTCCTCCCAGATGCAGGGAGCCATGAAATTCCCTTGACAGAGCAGGGCTGCCCTGCTACCATACACCACTGCCTAAATTTTTCTGCACCTTCAAGGTGAGTGAGTCAATCACTGCTGCAGGGCCCAGCCCAGGTGGTGGGCAGGTGTTCTGCTGCTCAGGCATGTCAGTGCCCCCTCCTGCTTTCCCCTTAAGGTGGGAACAGAGGTGAGGGGCAGGCCAAAATTCACGTCAGCTTTGCTCGCACACATCAGTGACCCCAGTAGACAGGAATGCTTAGGGAGGCACCTGCGTCTGCAAGAGAGAGGGAGCAGGGAGGGCGGCAGGGAGGTGAAACATGGATGTTGTTTCAGAGCGCGGCAGGTGCACCCAGGGGGAATGGGCCCATCCAGGCATGCAGCCAGTGAGGAGCCAGGCCTGAGCCAATGGTGAAGAAGAAGCTAATGTCTAGGGAGTAAGTCAGTTCTGGTTGGGACCTTCCTGCCTGCCAGGGGTTAGTACAGCAAATGCGGTGCAAACTGTTCCAGCCTGTTGCCATTTTCCCACCAGCTCCCTCAGAGCTGCCCCCAATCATCCATCTCCCTTTGCTCTCTCCTTTCTGATCCTCCACAAACCTCTCCCCTCATAAAGATGTCCCCTCCTACAGAGGAGTGGGGCTTGTTCCCCCATCCTGAAGTCTCTTGCCCTTGTGGTTGCAGCCACCCTGGGGTCCTCATGTTAGGTGAAGCAGGAGGGATCATTCTGCCATATAAGCATCCAAGCCCCCACCTAGCACATAGCAGAACCAGAGCAATTTTCACTGTAATTGTTTTCCATTAAAAAAACACTGTTTTGGTACAAAACTGATATTTTTAGGGTGGAGTAGCATCATTTTCAACATTTCATTTGGAAAAAACTGATTCGAGAATAACCAAATACCCTGTTTTAGAATGAGGCGTTTTCATGTGAAAATGGGGGTGTAGGTTGTAGTCGCATTGGTCTAAGGACCTAGGCAGACAAGGTTCTTTGGGTGAATCTGGTACCTTTTATTAGAACAATTTAAATAGTTGGAAATTCATGTGAAAATGACTTTGTTTCCTCACACCGATGCCTACTAGTTAGCAGCAGCATTACTCTTCTGCTCAGCCGTGTTTCGAAGCTGGTGTCATACAGTCAGAGAGAAGTAGGGCTGGATGGGACCTCCAGAGGTCAGTTAGTCCAACCCCTGCCTGAGTTCGGATCATCCCTAGCCAAACCATCTCATACAACATAATCTAACCGCTGCGTAAGGCAATGTCATCTGCAGGGGCCTCCTCAACTTCCCATGCCTTGTTCACAAGTCACCTTCTCTACAGTGACAAAGGGATCTCCACGTGCTGGAAGGCTGGCTGAAGAACAGGCTTCTCTAGAAATCATGCTGGAAATCTCATGAAATCTCAGGCCTTTGTCAAAGTTTTTCATCTCCTCCTGGATTCAGATGGGTCAGTATTGTCCTGAGAACTGTTTTCCTTTTGTGTTCTTGCTGAAACTGGGAAACACAGATGTGAAGGAAACAAAACAGATTCTAAAGCAATGGTTCTCAACTTTTATATACTCAGGGAACTCATCCGAAAATGCCAGCTCTTGGGTTTACTTATTTTTTGACTATGGGAAGTAATAGAGCAATTCTGTTTCAAAGAACTCAGAAATACTGGAACAGGGCAGAGGGTTTTTGGCATCATGGATTCCTATTGAAACCTTGTGTTTTCTTGTAAATCATGTTTGCACCCTTAACCATGCTAGCATTACACCCTGTGACACCCTTGTAAGGATCTCAAGACACCCCAGGGTACCATGGCACTCTCATTAAGAATCACTGTTCTAAAACTTCGCCACAGTTTTTGAACTGCTGATTGAAGCTTGGGAGGAAAATCTCCGCTGAGCTACTTCTCAAACTGGAAAGCTCTCCAGAGATGAGCACACTCGCTCCTCACAACCATCCTTGCTATCCTTGCTAGCAGCTGTCTCCTCGCTGGCAGCCCTGACTCAACTGAACCCATGTTCAGGCTTGTTACATTTTTCTTCATCAGCTGCACTTGACCTTGGCATTTTTTCTAGCGGTGTTTGTTTTCACCGCACCTTCATCAGAGACTTCCAGTGGGTGGGACAGGGCAGGCCCAGGCTCCTTTCCTTCTGAATGCCCCTTTTGTGGGCATAGGCAGACAAGGTTCCTTGGGTGAATTTGATATCTTTTATTAGACCAACCCAAATGGTTGGAGAATAGTTATTAAGCAAGCTTTCGGGTTCAAAAACCCTTCGTCAGGCTAAGGAAGTTTCAGCAGTTGGTGCATGCTCTTCCTGGATGGAATGAAAAGTAAAGAAGCCTTTTGTGGGCAGGCAGTTTTCTACCAAGATGACAAATAAAACTCCTGATGACTTCAGTGGATGCAAGATAGGACTGAGTTTGTGACTGGACCATGAATTTCACTAAAAGGCACGTAAAGTCATGGAAGTTGAAAGTGTCCAGCCTAGCCTATGGGGCACTTGGCACCTTAGCCCCCGAACAGAGCATATGTTCACAGGATTGAACCCTCAGCATCTCAGGGATCATCCATGTTGTTATTCTTTTGCCTCGGTAATTCAGGAAGCTCCTGCATCTCTCCAGGCATTATGGAGAAGCATGTCTCCAAGGTCCTGACCTGCATATCCAGAGCAGCCTGCTCCAAAACCACACAAGATCATGCTGTATCACAAGACTTCCAGCATCAACCTAGTTTGGCCAGGTTAGAAATGCAGTACCTCAGAAACAACCTGCCTTTTGGGGAATCTTTCTCCTTCCTAGCACTAGCTAAATGGTTCCCAAGCTTCACGTCCAGGACTGGTTCTAGCTAGGCATGACGTTCTGAGTGAGTGCTATAACAACATGAGCTGTTTTACCATCTTGTGCTCCATTTCCCACTGTGAAATGAATGGAACAGGACCAGGCCCTTAGCTGTGCCATGTCTCATTGCATGAGCTCACTCCTCACCAATCCCCTTGTCTCAGGACATCAGCTGCGCTTAGTTACCTGTGAATCAGAGGTGTCTGTTTGCTTTGCATCTGTGAAAAATCAAGGCTTAGTCAGTCTCTGCTGCAATGGGACAGAGCCAAGATAAAACCCAGCCGTGAAACCCTGAAGACTGGAAGGTTCATTTCTAGACCTCTCAGTGCTTGCAGGTAAGACATGAACCCAGGCAAGGAGGGAGTGAACTGGTGGGCTGCAGAGAAGACCCTGGCATCATTGCAAGGGAGGCTGCATGGAAGGATGGTGTGGAGGCTGGATCTGTATAACAAGAAGGAAGAGGAAAGGGCAGTGTTGCACATGGCAGTTACCAAGGACAGCTTTGAGTACGCTGAATGGTCCGGGCATGCACCTTTTTGGCACAAGAGTGGGACATCCAGGTCACACCTCTGCCCTCCGGGATGATGCGTTCCCTCAGGCTAGCTGGCCCAGGAGGGGAGTTGCAGGACAATTCTCTCCACTGAGGCAAGAGGCTTGTCCTCAAGAGCACCCCACCCTGGCACTCCCAAGACTGCTGTGCACTAGTGCATATCAAGTGCTCCCCAAGAAACTTGCCAGACCTGTTTGCTGTCAGCCCGGGGAGGAGAGAAGAGGCGAGGAATGTCAGTCTCTGGGAGGGCGCAGGCAGGACCAGAGGGACCAGAACACTGAGCCCAAGCCATCCTCTCCACAGTAGCTCAGGGGGAACAAGGCAGAGGGCAGCTGCTGGACGAGCCAGAGCCACGATGACGGCACTTCGGGTTCTGCTGCTGTTGCTGCTGACAGACATCTACACAACCCAAAAAAGTGAGTCCTTGGGCTGTAGCTTCATGGTGTGGGCAGGGAAAGGGGTGATGGGAAGGAGTCCCGACTCCTGGGGCTGGGGCTGAGAGAGCAGACCGCACAGTGGCACTCAGCAGGGTGCTGAGTTACTCCCCTATGGAAACCAGGCAGTTCGTTGACTGAGTAAGTGATCAGGATGGAGCTGCCGCTTGGCTCAGGCTTTACTTGCTAAGCTCACTGGAGCGGTTCTGATCCCAGCTGTAGCCTGCGCAGCACAGATCACAGAGCAGTGACAGCACTGAGGAGGATCCAGCACATCTCAGGCCCCAGCATAGGGGTCTCCCTTTTACCCCACCCTGGGCCTTCATACTGAGGTTGGATGGGGATCTTTGTAGGATGCAATATCCCTCAGTGTGAACAGAGCTGTCACAGCCTGGCCCCTCCTGCCCAAGAGATCATGGGGCTCTGGAGCTGAAAACTCAATGCTTTGCTACATAAGAGGAGGCAGGACAGGGGTTCCCTTGCCAGAGCTGACCTCAGGGCAGTGAGAATTCCTCCTTGCAGAGCACCAGTGCTTCTCAGTCATGCAAATCCCGGTAACGCATTGCTTCACTATGCCCAGGGGGCAAGGAATTACCCCATTTTACAGATGGGAAAACAGAGAGAGTGGAAGTGACTTGCCCAAGTAGCTCTGGGGGTCTTGGCCCAGTTGAGCTGCTGGATCTCTCTGCCTGCCTGGGCACATACTTGGGCCCAGTATTGTGGTACACGAGTGCCTCCTGAGCACAAAAGCACTGGCTCCCTGCCCCAGTAATCAAGAGAGACAAAGGAGTGGGGTGAGGGGCTCCTAATCTCCAGACTTTCTTGAGATCTCTTGGAAAATCTTCTAGAGGGCATTCAGATGGGTGGCAGAAGGATCTTCTCCGAGACAGTTACAGCATTCACACCCCTTCCCTACAGGCAGACAGCTCTCCAAAAAGTCTGAGCAATCAAGGTCACAGAGCTTTGAATGATGTAAAGACTCCAGCTCTGTACCCATTGCTCTGGGGGTGGACAGGGGTATTCTCAGATCAGCAAGGTGGCTGGGCAATGCTGTGGCAGAGGTGGGAATGACCATGCAAAAGGCCAGGTCCAGGTACCAGGTGGAGCTGAAGGATGAGTAGCTATTTTAGGTCAAACTGTCCTGTAACAGGCCTTGAACTCTCTCTGAGAGCCAAGTGTGGGACTTGGGGGTTACGTAGTTCTCTAGAGCAGCACAGAGACAGGTGTGGCACTTCGCTGTCATGCTGCCCTGCCCTACAGGTACAGAATTGATTGATGCCCTGAGAAGAGATGGGAATGCCTAAGCTGGCTTTGTTAGCCTGGCGGGGACAAGGCTCACATGAACAAAAGGGTGTTGTGGACAGTCCTTCTTATGGTCTCTATGGAGAAAGGCACTGGGCCCAGAAAGAGACATTCAACCCCATTCTGTTCTTACTTGTCTCAAGAGTGGTTTAGTGGATAGAGCTCCAGACTGGGAATCTATTTTGCACTGTGTATCTGTCCCCACTATCTGCCACGCTCAGGCATTAGGAGGTGTCTGCTTATGTCCTGCTCCTAGTCATTGTGCATTTCATTGCTTTTCTCCAGTCACTGAGAAGCCTTCCCTTGCTGGTCCAGAACTGGGAGGAAGGATCACCACCTCCACCTTTGCCCTCAATCAGCCTCGCTGTATCTTTGATATGTACACCAGCACCACCGATGACATCTGGCTGGTGGTTGTCCTCACTAGTGGTATGTGTGGTTCATTTGCAATGTCATGTCCTCAGCTGCCTCCATGTTGCCCACTCTGTGCAGTGACTGCCTGCTCTAGTGATATGGACTCAGGTGCCTTGCAGTGGTCACATAGGTCCAGGGAGACCCCACTGCACAGATCAGCTGCAGTGCTGGTTGGCTGGGAGTTGGCAGACAGCTGTTTTCTTTTCAGTGTATGGTGTCCCCAAGCTTTGGTTGGCTTGAGATCTGCTCCCCCTTGCTTTTAGCTCTCCCTTTGTAGGTGATGAAGCTGTCATTGGATGCAGGCTGCAGAGTGGGGCATGTGCTGGCTTGAAAGCCCCCACAGCAACTTATGGGGGTGGGCACCATGAATCTGGACACTGCAGACAAATCAACCAGTGCCCTCAAGGTGCCTCACTCCAATGCAAAGGAGTTGGGGCTAGAAGCTAATGGAAGCACAGCAGCTTGTAGGCTCTGGGTCTTACACCCTATCTGCCTGAGTGCTCTTCAGAATGACAGGGAAGTGCTGAGCTAGACTGCTCCGTGCTTGCCTTCCCTATGGGGTAAAAGCTTGGGATGAGCTAGCAGAGGGGAGCTCCTAGCTTCTGGCCATCACCAGGAAACCCCAAAGTCCATCCAGCCCAGTATCATGTTGGACTGGGGCTAGGGCCCTTGGCTTCAAAGCAGGAAACTTGTGGTACAAGAGTGTGAGCTTGGGAGAGGCTTGGGAGCTTTCTTTCCATGTGCCATCCTGAAAGCCATAGCTGGAGCCATTCCTATTCATGGAGGCATCTCATCCCTTTTCTAAGGATCCTTTTTTGAGCAATTTGCCTCAATAATGCCCTGTGACAGTGAGCTGTACAGAGGAATGGGACAAAAGAAACAGTTCTTACTGGGGAATGTATGGCTTTCTCAGAGCAGGGCATTTCCATACAGAGGGTTTTGCAGGTCAGGTGCATCCCAGGAACGAAACTCTTAGCCACATGTCAGGTGCATGGTGATGCATTTGTATGTACCTAACACGGTGAGTATCTGGAGGAGTAGAGGTATAAAGGCCCTGGCAGGACTCAGATCAGTCAGAAAGGATCCAAGCCAGCACTGGTGATGTTTGCACCTCTAAGACTTGGAGAGGGAGTGGGCCATAGTATGGACAGTGGTTCTGGGAGAAGACAGAGGAGGGGAGAGGAAGCCATTCTGTTATCTCCATGGGGTAGGGCATTTGTCCCACCCAGAAATGTTTAATGCAAAGACTCAAAGAGGTAGGCAAGTTACCAGGAAAAGGGCAGCCTCTGGTGTGTACTGGTTCCATAATTTGGTGGGACTCCACTGTTGATTCCCTCCTCACCCAGTGTAAATCAGGAGCAGACTCACTAGAATCAGTCTGCTGCCATATCCAGCCTGGATTCTCACCTGCTTTTCACTGTTGTCCTGGCAGAGAAATCAAAATTTGTCAACCCAGTACCCCCCGAGAGCCTGCCAGCCTATCAGGATTTCCTCCTGAACAGTTCGTATATGACCCTGAACACTGCCCGGCTCAACTACCCCTGCCTGCCAGACTCCACGGACATCACTGTGCTGCGTGTGGGGAGCGAGACCAACTGTATGAAGGACAGATCCAGGCCCAATTGTAATGGTCCCCTACCAGTCCCAGGACCCTACAGGTAAGAGATGATGGCTGGACTGGAGTGCTCATGCCATAACATCTGGTAGGCAGCGTATGCCCTAGGAAAACACTTTAGATTCATGGCAGGGAGATGGTGGCAGAGCTGTGAAGGCATCTTCCTATGGCTCTAGAAGCATGAATAAGTCTTACTCCAGACATGTGCCATAAGACTGCCCCAGCTGTAAATGGCACCTGGTCAGTCAGGCAAAGGAGTCAAAGGTATGTGATGCCAGTCATCACTGTGCAGCTTGCAGGAGCTGGTGTGCCTGATTCATACCATCCCTAGGGGCTGTCAGGACTCCTGACCTTCTTGCTACATGGTGGAGTCCACTGAGTGCAGAGAAATGATGCATCACTCCTCTGTATTGTGAGGGCTGATGCGGGGGCTGGAGCTCATGAACTTCATTCCTCTGGAGGATCTTCCTATTGATTTACCTCTGAGGCTTATCACACCCCCAGAACAGTCCTCTCCTTGTTAGCCCCAGGGATAGAGCATGACAACAGATGCCCAGTAGGTGCAAACTGCCATGGCCCCACTGACTTCCTAGAGCAACACCAGTCTGCAGGTGCTGAAATCTGGCCTGGGCTTTGTTTTCCTGGTCTCATGAGTTCTGAGTGTTTGAGAATAATGGGACGTGGCATTGCAGTCTGGCAGGGTCCATGAGTCCATGAGGTTCCCTCCCCCACCCACTGTTACCTATAACCCAACAGGTGCTAGCCAGTGGCCCCAGCTACTTCTGAGCTTCTTTCCTCTCTTCCCAGTGTGAAGTTTCTTGCAATGGATAATTCTCAGCCCAAGGCTGAGACAGAGTGGCTAGATGACATCATGCTGAAGACAGGTAACTGCTTGTGCACTGCTCGCTGTCTGCCATCCATCACAAACCTCAAGGCCATGCAGTTTAGTTACCAGAGGCCTGGGTTCATTCCT